CAGACTTTATATAATTAGATATCACAGATACAAAATTAATATGCCTGGCATGAAGTTAACCTTTTCCCCTCCTCCTTTTACCTGGTAATGCTCATAGTGCACTAATGACCAAAAATTAAAGAAGCAAGCATGTTTTCAAGAGAATGTATGTTCTGGGAGCTCCCTGCTGTTCTTACTGTTACCACTTTCAACACAGATGTGAAAGGGTTTCCCTACACTAAGCACTTCTCTACCAACATCAACTGGCTGTCCTGTCATTTGATTTGATTCTGACACTGTCTACCTGGAGTCATCGATTCCACAAGTCAGGGACTGCCTACCTGAAGACTATCTCACTTCAGGCACCAGTTGTAAGACCTGGGTTGGCATCACACTTCTTATTGACCAGCTAGCTTACTCATCAAGGGTCCTTGCAATTTGCTCCTTTTGACCAGTGGTTTACAAGTGTCCTTGCAATTTGTTTCCCTTGACCAGTGGTTTACAAGAATAGCTCATAGGATTCAGGAGAACATTTCTTACCATCACCAGCTTATTATAAAGGACTCATGAGGAACAGCCTGCTGAGGAGAAGCCTAGGAAAGGTGTAGAAGAACAACCGAGATTTCATGCTCTCTCTAGGTACAATGCGTGTGCCAAGTACTCACTAATTTTGGAAGCTCTCCGATCCATGAGTCTGTTTCATTAAGAAGTCCTATTTTCTAGGAATAGTTGATAGATTACAAGACGTTGGTGATTCTGTTAAATCTCTATCCCCTACCCTTTTCAGATGGGTAGGGCCGACTGCACGGACAGCTTGGTTTCTCTAGCAACCATCCACCATCATGAAATCATCTGGGTCACCCCAGAAACATAAACTCAGATGTAGTCTAAAGCCCTTTATAGATTACAGATGTTTCTATCATTCCCTTATCAGTAAGGAGATTTTAAGAGTTCTGTGTCAGGAATTAGACACAAAGACTAAATACATCTGTTTTATTGCTACAAACAGAAAAGGAAGCCTAGGAATTCTTAGCCCAAGTTTGCAATCTTGCCGTTTTCTAATGCATTGAGTGGACTTGCCCCCCACAAAAGCATTAGTTAAGGAGACTTTCAAGCACAAATTTTTCAAATTCTACAGTGGATGTTAACATTTATTATAACAGATATGAATCAGGGACATCCAGCTTGAGAGAGGAATCAGGAAGGCATAGAGAAACAAGGAACTTCCACACCCTTGCTAGTGCAGCCCTCCCAGCACATAGGGCCAGAAAGCATCACTGAATTTTAGATGATATTTAAATATGAAGTATCTTAACTTAGGTTCCCCTGAAACAAAGATTCAAGTACGAGTAATTTATTTGGGAATTACAGGAAACACCATCTGGAGTGTGGGGGACAATGAGGACAGGAAGGAAGAAAAGACAATCGATAGAGGATGTTGTTGGCAAGCTTAGCAACCGCTGTGACCAACTGGAACTTATTTCCCATGGATACACTACACAATGATGTAAAACCACTATCTTAAGCTCCAACCACCTCCTCTTCCCCCAAGTAAGAGATTTGCCTACCAGCTCCCATCACCTGTTGGTTGAGAGCTGTTCCCTGGGATATTATCCTGGTGCTTCTCTTTGTTGTATGCATATAAGATTCAAGAAAGAAAATTAACCCTAGGCATAGAGAGATACAGACATTGGTAAGTCAGAAGAGACAGTGCATTAGACCAAAGATATCAGAGATGTATGAGACTATAGCTGTGTTCATTGAGTGCCTCACTTTGTATACACGAGACCCCTGATTCAAACCCAGCACCAGATAAAAACAAAATCAAAGCTGATGAAAGCATGTCTGGATTATTCCGATAATATGCTGTTTCTGGATTAGGGCGATAGCTCAGTTGGTAAAGTGCTGCTGCTCAAGCCACCAGCACCCATGTAAATAGTCAGGTATGGTGGCACTCTTGTAATCCCAGTGCTAGGGAAACCAGGGACGGGGCCACTGGGGCTTGCTGGCCAGCCAGCCACAACTAATCCACGAGCCCAGGTCCCACTGAGAGATCCTATTTCACAAATAAATAAAACAAGGTAAACAAGAAAAGGGACACCCAGGTTGTCCACTGATCTCCACATGTGTCCAGGTACACAGACACTAAAATACATGTGTGTGCCTTTTCTAGCGAAATTCCTCAAAAAGTTTTCTGGCTTCTGTTTCCAGATGTTCTTAGCTCATTCTCACTTGATCATACTGCACTGAGATTTCTGCACCACATCACACCAAAGCTATCAAAGCTATCCCTAGAGGCTGTCACCAGTCACTCTGCTACTCTCCCAAATTCTCGCTCTTCATTTTACTTTACTTACTAGCAACACTCAATCCTGTCCGTTCTCCCCTCTCCAGACACTCTCTTCCTTAGCTTCCCCTGTTAATCTGCTGGTTCTTTCTCTGTCTAGTGGTCACCTACTTTGATCGACTCTGACCTTATTTCCTTAGCTTTCTAAACTGCAGCACTGGGAGCTCAGAGCATGAATGCTTCTGCTTCAGCCACTCCTTTTATGACCTCATCTAGTCCTTTGACTTTTGATGAAGATCTGTGTGTGGTCTTGCAAATGTTATCCTCCAGGCCCAAAACTTGTGAAGCTAAAAATAAAAATCTTAATCCCTGTACAACCATCACTTCATTTGATTGACATTGGGCCTTCGGCCTTGTAGTTATCCTCCACACCCTCCTTTGAATCACATGACACTTCGAGTCTGCAGCATACCCTGCCACCTATAGCTTAAGTATGTATTCAGAGCTAGGAATGGGCTCACACCTATAATCCCAGCCCTTGGGAGGCAGAGGCAGGAGAATGAGAGTTCAAGGACAACCTTAGCCACTCGGTTAAGTATCTTAGTTACTTTTTCTATTGCTGTGATAAGAAAGAGTATCTGGGGCTTATGGTTTCAGAGGGTAGATTCCATGATGCTAGGCAAAGGAATAGCTGAGGGTTCACATCATGAGACACAACCATAAGATAGACAGATACACACACCTGCCTCCCTGCTTCTCAATCCTTCAGTGGACAGTTACCACTCAGGAGAACCTTGACCACGTGGCCTTCAGTGTCAGCCCCTGCATTCAAGCCCTTGTGTTCTTGGCTGTATGACTGTCCTGCATCATTTCATGGAAACTATGCCTGTCTCCTCTGTCCAATGGGAATACATGAAAGCTGTCAGGCCGAGGACTGGGAGAGCATTCCAGGTACAGGCTCCAGGTGCCAGGTGCTATTCTCACTCGGTAAGCCTCTAAATACTTGTAGAATCAGGAAGGAGTTATAAGCAGTGTGAAAGGATATTGTAGAGTGAGGCTGATTAACAGCAGGGCCTCTGCAAACCTTCCTGAAGGTTCTAAAATGCAGAACTATAGTACTGACCTAAACATACGGCAGCCTTGAGGGGTTTTTTAAAAGAGTATTTAACTTTTCTCCATAACTTCTAAAGGATGGAAGAAACACACACACACACACACACACACACACACACACACACAATTGGGCAGTCATCTACTGCGCAATGAATTCAGAGATGTCAGAAATGAAGTGGTTTCTACGAAACATAGTAAATTTTATGGGGAGAAAGTTGAAGCACTAGTCTTGGTGACAAACAGGACAAAGGGACACTTACTCACAAAAACTCCCTTTTTCAAGAAAGGGCAACATCTTTGACACTTAACCCACTAGACATTGTTATAGGCCATGCACATAAAGGTGTTTCAATGCACTGACAACCAAACAGATACGAATTCTAGTTATCATTTCTAAAAAACGCCTCCAGGTGTGTTAAAGATACTCACATGCACACATTATCTCAAAATCCTAAAAGTGTAACAGGCAAATCAATGGCTTTTTTTTTTTCTTCCTCCCAACATTAGCTATTTTAAAAACTCACAGGGAGCAAGCAAAACAGCTTCCAAATTCTGAATTCACACTGACCTGCAATTTGTGGGGCCCATACTTCCTCTTCTTCATAGGGATACCCTCCTGGGCTGTACGGACCCCACATATTCTGAGTTACCTTTTCATTCTCCTGGGTGGCACAAGCCCGTTGTACTCAGGTGAGAAGACAGAGGAATTCTGCCCTATCACGTGGGCAGAGGTGGTATTCAATTACCTTCTATCAGCTAGATTATGGGGTTAAGGAACTTATCAACTTACAGTCTGGGAGTATTCAGACACCGTAGAAAGACAAGCAAAGGGGTGGACGGCGGAACACTAATGGTCTGCATTCAGAAGACAGCAAAATTTGACAAAGAATGTGATATGATCCTAGTTTCTTGTTTGGTTTTGTTTTTGAAATCATAACTGCCCAGAGGCTATTGGTAAAGCAGAAGTGGAGAGAGAGAGACAGAGAGAGAGAGAGAGGTTTAAGCAGTGATGTTTTTGGTAATGAAGACAGGCTGGCCGTGCCGGAGCTTGTCAGCCTGCATCTGCTATTTTTAGCGCTACTGTTTACTCCATGTCAACCCAGCCATCTCTAGATTGGAGAGGACTAACAGTTTGGGTTGATTTGGTTTAATTAGATTGGATTAATATGGCCAGTGCACAGTTGTGTGGGAGGACCATTAATTAATCATCTCAACTAGATGTTGCTGTTTTAAAGTGTAAAACACTCCTTCCCCAAATTTGGATCGAATATATGCACTTGTGTGCCAACCTCTTTTCCCTCGGATTCCCATCAGAAGCTTGTAGTCCACACAAGCTCACAAAGCAACTACTAATGAGCTGAAGGCAGAGGTCCACACCTGAGTTCAAGGTGTCGCTTGTGGTGAAGATGAGGAGGCACAGTTCCTGGGTTCAACAGCACGCCCTGCTCTGCCACTAGCAGTGAGATCTTGGGCAAAGCTTTTCATCCTTTTCTTTTTACTTACCTGCCTCTTTGGCAGTGCCTGACATTGAATCCAGAGCTTCGTGCATGCCAGGCAAGCGTTATACCCACCCCCAGCCCTCGCTGGGTTTCTTCATTTGGTTATTAAAATTTAATTTCAACAGGGGAGAATGTGAATACAGCCCCCCGCTGCCACAAATCATGCAGTTGAGTTTATGGAAAATGAAGGGGTCAGCACATCTGAAGGGCATTGGATAAGCCTCGCCCTGGGAAAACCACCTTTCATTATGATGGCATCTCCCCCTGCCTGGTAATGTGTGTGTGTTTCTTCACCCTACCAAACTTATCTCACCTCCAAAATCAGGCTGATAGTGATGTCTACCCTTTGGGGGTTTCAGAGCTAAATGATATAATCAGTTGAAAGTATTACCTGCTACAGCCTGAACAACAAATGCCAGATACTATTACTGGAAATAGCAACTTTATAGATAGGCTCTGTGGGACATGCTCAGATTGGCATATACAGTAGCCAGGGCTTATAAACCTCAATTCTGCTCACAATTTCTTCAGAGATGGAACCCAGGGCCTTTACACATGCTAGGTGAGCATCCTCCCTCTGAGCCACACCCCACCCTATCTGTTGATAATTTGGTCTCAGTACTTCTTCACTGTGGGGGACTGCCCTATATACCATGGGATGGTTAGTGGCATCCCTGACTTCGAACCATTGAATCTCCTCTTCACAACAGAAACAAAACCTCTTCAGATGTTGTTGAGGGTCTCAGAGTGGCAGGATTACCCCATTTTGAGAATCTCTATAGAAAACAATTGGTTACTGCTTTGAAAACACATCATCTTTGCCATATCAGACTTCTATTTGCCCACTTAGCTCTCACCTCAATGTAGCTAAATAAATTACATAACAAAACAGTCTTAAATTACTTCTTCCTTTATTACTAATACAATACTATGAAGAAAAACAGGATCATGATTATTTTCATGTTCTCAGTGACAGGCAAATAATGGAGAAATGGACAGATAGGTACATATTTGCCTTTTTTTCAGATAGATGGACCGACAGATGGATGAATGGTCTCATATTAGATACTGTTGTCAACTTGACACAGACCTAAAGTCATCTAGGAAGTAGAAAACCTCAACTAAAGAACTCAGCAGGTCATATTGGCTTGTGTCTATGAGGTATTTTCTTAACTAATTGGTAGGGGAAGGTATGGCCCACTTCTGGCAATGGCATCTGTAGGCAGGTGGGCCTGTTCTGTGTAAGAAAGACAGCTGAGCAAACCAGAGGGAGCAAGCTAACAAGCAGCATTCCTCCATGGTCTACATTTCACTTCCTAACTCCAGGTTTCTACCTTGAGTTCCTCCCATGATTTACCTCAGTGATGGAAGAGTAATGTGAAATAAACACTTTCCTTCCCAAGTTGCTTTTTAGTCATGGTGTTTATCAAAGCAACAAAAAGACAAGGACAAATGGACACATGTTTGAGCATTTTCAGGTGTGTGTGTGTGTGTGTGTGTAGATGAATACACCTTTGAGTATTTTCATTTGCCTAAACCATTGTGATCACCATGTGAGGTTTACTTTTATTCTTCCAGTCTGCTCACGAAGGAGCTAAGTCTGGCTGCACATCCACTCACAGACACAAAGAAACATGGCAAGCTGGCCCGCACTGTGGAACTTGGAGAGGAGAGCAAGGCAGGAGCCCCCATGCACAGACCTTCAGGGTTAAGAGCCAGAGGCGACACACAGATTGTCTCCGGGAAACTAAGCCAAGGTTCTAGCTAGGGTCAGAACAAGAGAGGAGCAGAGACTGGGAACAGGAAGTGGCCAAAAAAAACTCCCAGTCAGGCAGAAAGGCATGGGATGAGACACATTTGTCTGAATTAACCCCACCAACTTAGCATCTGTTACAGTTTAGTCAATATTGTCCAGAATAGAGATAAACAAGGTAAATAAATCTTTTCCTTAGACCTTCTATTATTTTCTTAATGGCCTATTAATTGAAAGTATGTAATCATGTAAAGAGCAACATAAACATAGAAAAAAATAACACATGACTTGTGTCATTCAGCAAACAATTATCAAGTGAACATCACTTCGGCTATTTCTATATGAATCAAAGAATGATGCAACTGTGCCATCTGATTGCATGATGTTTCCAAGGAACACAAGGGAGGGTTCTTAAATCCCTAGTTATTTGCTACTGTGGTATAAATTGGTAAACAAACACAGATCTCCTGAGACATATCATGTACACTCACTGTTTTCTTCATACTTAAAGCACAACTTACATTCACTCATTATTTTACTCAATTAGGACTTATTTCCTTTTAGTTTTATGCCCATTATTATGAAAATTTTTGTGGAAACCATGAAGATATTGAAACATACAGTTTCTTTTGGGGGTCATGTATTAGGCAAAGCTGTATATACTTTCCCTAAGAAGTGGAGTGTTTGGAAAGGGTAGGAGGGTTGAAGAGAGATCGATGTATACATATCACGTCTCCCTTTCTACTTTCACCTGGAATCCTAGACCAGTCTTGAAACTTAATTCTAGGAGTTCACTTGAGTTCTACTTTTATGCCTGACCATGACTTTCTACTGTGGTTCTTATTTCTCTGGGACTGATTTATAGGTTACTATTTTAAAGTCTGTGTTTATAATTACAAGTGACCTCAAGTACCTTGAAAAATGAAGCAAGATCTGAATAAAAATTAAATAAAACAGTGATCAAAAATTTTTATCTAACCCTCTTTTAAAAAGAATGGAACAAAACAGTCTCAGGAAGAAAATATATAAAGCATTGGGAAGCTCATGGTATTATGCATTCATTTAATTACTTATTTGTGTATTTTAGTTTTGAGAGCTTTTTGAATTTGAGAATTCATGATTTAAAAACAACAACAACAAAAAAAACAAAACAGTATTCAATTAAGGATATAACATTTTGAAGTGTGCTGAAGAGCCTATATTTGGTCACTGTCCTGAAAAGGCAAAGCAAACAAGCATTCTTTGCGAGATTAACATGTAAAGCTTTATCACTTTGCAGCTTCCTGGATGTCCACTCATCTGTGCATAACTATGTATAAGATTCTACAAGAAAAGACACAGAACGGGCAGGTAGGGTAGAGTTGAGCATTATCTTCACTTTGTATTTATAAACATGGCTCTGAGCCCCAGGCCACATTTGATCATTTCTTTATCAACCCTGGAGACCATCCACTTCCTTCCTCTTGGCGGGATGACTCCAGCAATGGAACTTTATTCTGCAAGAGAAGCCTTTGGCCAGAATGTAACCCTGAACCTTCAGTTCACCCTGGTATGCTATAACACAAACATTTTGTTATTCAGCCCAATTCAGCATCAGATTCCAAAATGTAGGTGGAGTCAAGTGATAAAAACATATTGTTACTAAAAATATTAACCCTGGGGTTGGAGAGATGACTCATGGGGGTGGGTGGGACTAGAAGCATGACTCAGTGGTTAACAAGCCATACTACTCTTCCAGATGACCAGAGTTCTGCTCCAAGCACCCACATCTGGCAGTTCACGACCACCTGAAGCTGCAGATCCAGGGGATCCAGTACCACCTTCTGGCTTCTGTAGGCATAGGCCTTTGCATTCTACATGGACATAGCCATACAGAGAGACATAGAGACATATGCTTAAATGGAAAAAAATCAATTTAAAGCTGATTCTTTAAGAAAATATTATCCCTGATTAGATCTGAATGTCATATGTGAGCTGAATTCCACCTGCTATTCATACCGTGAAAACTTGTAGACTACGTTCTATGAACAAGTACAGAGGGTAGATTCCCAAATTTACCCTCCGCCCAAATATGCCTATTAGGAAAGAATGTATATTCCTTAGTGTTTGGTTGAAATAAGCTGAATGAACATGGTTTGAGTTTCTACTGTCTTCTAGGTCATTTGTAGGGTGACTTATGTGGCTCTCAAAAACTCCTTGGACCTCAGAAACAGAACATTGAGGGTAGCAGCTAAACTCATCATTTTGGCTGTTATCCATCTTATAATAACTGGGGTGAATGGGACACCAGACTTAACCCCTGGAAAGAAAAGAGGAAAGTAAGGTTAAATAGGATTCGACATACAATAAATGTGCTTCAAGAGGAAGTGGAGGGGGCGGGGTTAATTTCTCCTAGCTCTTGATTTCTGCCTAGCATAGCCCTGGTTTTCCGACTTCTCTTTCCCTGGAAGTAGCTATTCAGTCTTAAAATTAATACTAATTGCCTGGTCTCTGCTAATTGTCTAGTGGGATCTTTTCCAGGTCACACCTGTATTTAAATGAATTCTCTCTGTGGACTCTATGCCAACCCAAGGCTGTAACTTCTTCCCAGCCACTTCAGCGACCCTATTCCTTGTATCTCTGTTGTTGCTTTCTTTCTTTTTTAAGATTTTTTTTAATTAGGGGAAGGGAGAGATGCATGCGAGTGCAGATTCTCATAAAGGCTAGAGGAGGGCACTGGATCCTTTGGAGGAGTTGTGAGCCACCTTTGGAGGAGGTGCTGGGAACCCAATTTGGTTCCTCTAACAGAGTGGCTTGGTCCTAAGCCTCTGAACTGTGTCTCCAGTCCCACCCCTCTGCCCTGCAAATTCAGGAGTCAGAAATATTCCTCATCTCTCCCAAGCTCATCCTTCAACTTTCCATCCCTTTGCTCTGGTGGAATAAGACCCTAACTAGATATCACCTATTGTTCATGCTCCTAGATCTCCAGCCTCAACGTCTGTAGTGACTTCACTTCAGCGTGTAAATCAATGAACCCAGCTGTCTACTACTCTAAACTTTCTGTCAGGGACATCTCTGCGGACAATGAGATTATGCACCAGTCCCAGGAGTGTACCCTTCTGAAAAGAGACTACCCTCGGTGACTCCTGGCCATGGGTGGTAGCCCTGTTAGGATGACTCCCTAGTGACTTCAGGGTTTATTCTCTCTTCACAGGGAAGAAAAGACAACATTAACTTCTGACAGGACACACTAACAATTAACTTCTAACATCTCAGTAATTTCACACAACCGTGATATAGCAAAAAGAAATAGAAAAAAAAAAAAAACAAAGCAAAACAAACAAACAAAAAAAAAAACAACCCTAGAACATTAGAAACAAAATTTGGTAGTATCTATGCTATCAAGTTAAATAAAAAATATCACTAGATGACTCTTTCCAAGCAGAGCATCAGTTGTGACTGAAGAACATAGTCCATTGCCTGGAAGCTCCAAGGGGCTTCTGTACAGCTCAGCCCTGGCTCATACACACAGCTGCTCTTTTTTGTTC